AGATCCAGGCTGCAAATGAAACAAAGACGGCTGTTTTCGCTGAATAATATAATACCAAATATAATACTTGGGCTTTGCCGAGATTTTGTGTGTGGTTTTTTTTTTTAACATGGAAACTGAGGATTCTTTGAGGCAGGCTTCATTATTCCTGATATGGTATTCACTCTGGAAAACTTGAACCTATTTATTGTTTCCTTCCCTTCATCAGTCCGTCCTTATTCGTTATTCTGTTTAGTCCCGTGCTTTTGGTGTTGATGTATATGCCCTGTGTGTCTCCGATTCTGGAAAAGTGGCCATTTTATGCTTCTCCTTACTTCTGCATCTTAAATTCAGTTCTTGCCCGTTTTCTTATCTGGAGAAAGCAGATGGTGTCATTGTGCGATATAGCACGAGCTCTTACAGCAAAGGGATGTGACCCGAGAGCCGGGCTTTTTATTTGGGCTCCTTGGGGAAATGATTACAAATGAAGACAGGCTGGATGGAAGGTGAGATGGAGGAAATTTTGAAGGGCACGTTGTGTGGTGAAAGGCTATATGCGGCTGTGGCTTATGTACTTTCTCATCATATAGAAATGAAAATTCCTGGTGTTGGGTTCACATTTCAGAAATAATGTAACACAAATATTTAACTGAGAGATGGTGCAGGCCATGACTAGCCATAGTGTCCTTTCGCGTTTGGTTTTTATCTGTGCTCGTTTGATTAAGCAGAATATTGGTAAATTAACAGACTTGCAGGTCTCTGTAGTGCAAGTGACCTCCGAGATAGTGTTACACAAATTGGGACAATTTCTGTTTTAGTGTATCTGTCATAGAGGGATGCACTATCATGGAAAATTTATCCATTTTTGTTTGGCTTTGTATGCAAGATACTCATAAGATTTAATTGTTTCCCTGTATCCATACTTTGGTATGTGCTGGACTGCAGTTGAGAAATGTTCTGGGTGGCGTTTTATTGGAAGTCAAAAATGGTCAAGTGGGAGGGAGCCCAGGAGTGTGTGCCCCTAAAACCAATGAAGGACATAGGGCTTTGACTCTGTAGGGGGTTAATTCATACACATATAAATGATTTAACTATAATTAGGCAGTTATTTCAAATGATACCAAGAACCTTTGTGTCTCCTGCAAAGAGGTTCCTATTTATTCGTTTTTCCCCTAAGTATAGTTATTTTTTTATATAAAATATAAAGCATTTCCTAGGTTGTACGAGTGTGTTTATTGGCCAAGCCTGTACTCTTGAAGCCATAATCGATAGGGTTTTTACTTAGTAGAGAGGCAGTATATAGTGCACATCATGCCCTTCAAAATTCCCTCCCTGTCACCTTCCACTGTTGTAGAATGAACTCAGGAACTGAACTCTGGGTTTACGCCCAGCTCTGCTACTTGTTAGCTGGTTTTTGGCTTTCTCTGTGCCTCAGGTTCCTCATCTGTATAATGAAGATATAAATAGCACCTACTTCATAGGGCTTTTGTGAGGATTAAGAGTTGATATATGTAAACTGCTTAGAATAGTGTCTGGCCATAATTAGTGATATATAACAACAGTATTTGCTATTTTAAATATTGTGATATTATCCTTTCCACAAGGCAAAGCATTTGGGAGTGGTTCACTTTAAATACCAGTATTATCAAGATTGGGTCCCAAATGTACAATGGAATGGAAAAAAATACAACATATTTGGCAATCACAAGTGAAGAATTAAAGTGAACAAAAAAAATCTTCAGTGGCCTCATGAACACTATCAACTAAAGAATGATTTGAGTACCTACTGCCTGCTAAGTTCTCTTGGCCAATGCACAGGAGGGCAAGAAAAATGCCAGAAGAGCAGCACAAAATGTTAAGGGAAGGAGAAGGATTCAGTTGCCAGATTGACCTGAAAAGAACTTGTGAAAGGGTGTCATTTGGGTCAGGATTTGAAGGAATGGTAGGTTTTTGGTTGTGGAGGAGAAATGAGGGTAGGACCACTCATGTAATATTTGGTCAGTATGTATAGATTCCCTCCTTGGATCAGGGACTAGGCTGAGTGCTTACCATATAGTAAGGAATAGTGTTTAGTTGTAGAAAACTCTGGAAAAGTAAAAATTTTTAATCCCACTTCCCAGTGAAGACCCATGGGTAGTTGTTACCTTTTTTTAAAGTGTATATATGTGTGTGTGTGTGTGTGTGTGTGTAATTTCCACCCACAAAACAGGGGACATTTTGTAATTACACTTTTGTGATGTATTGGATTTTTTGTTTTGTTAATTCTCACTTGAGAATATTGTTCCATTGCTTTTAGATAGAGTGGAAGGTAGGGAGGGGGGTGGGGAGAGAAACATTGATGTGAGTCACATCAATTGGTTGCTTCCCCATGCTGAGGATTGAACCTACAACCCAGCTATGTGTCCTTGACCGGGAATCGAACCTGTGACCCTTCAAAGTGTGGGCTGATGCTCTAATCACTTAGCAATATCGGTAGGAACGATTATAAGCACTTCCCCACCAAAAAAAGTACTAATACATTTAAAATGTACAATTCGATAAAATAATTCTTAAAGACATAATTTACTTAAAAAAAAAAGAACCTGCTGTAGAAATGATCAGTTATTCTAACTTACAGTAAAAATTTTAAGCATACCCAAGGTAAAAGTAAAGAAATGTGTGTGTGCCAACTGGCAGCAATACAGTTTTCCAAGTGTTATATGGGACATACAGTTAATACCTAAAAAGAATATTAAGAATAACTTATCGTATTTTGTTAGAGTTGGATATTTTTGGTTTTGATAGACTGTCCTTTAGGCAGAGTGTGTGTCTGATTGTCTCTAAATTCATCTGGGTAAGTCTCACTTCAAAGCCATGCCTCCTCCTTAGCAGTATATAAGTTGGAAAGACAGAAAACTTGTTAATGATCTTATAGAGTAGTCCCTAGAGGTAATGGTCTTTTGAAACTAACTTCTACAGAACAAAGATATGTTCTTACATCATCTTATTTCTTTTTTAAAAATATATTTTTGTTGATTTCAGAGAGGAAGGGAGAGGGAGAGAGATGAAATCAGTGATAAAAATCATTGATTGGCTGCTTCCTGCACACCTCCTACCGAGGATCAAGCCCATAACCCAGCCATGTGCCCTTGACCAGAATCGAACCCGGGACCCTTTAGTCTACAGGCCGATGCTCTATCCACTGAGCCAAACCAGCTAGGGCTGAAACCATTCTTTGGATTGTACATGTGTCCATGAATATTTTCTGTAAGAAGGAAAATGCTAATTAAAAAACAGGTTAGCAATTTTATTTATAGAAGTCTTAATGTTACATGTTTTGTGACGTTTTTCATTTTGTGATTTTTGTTTTGTCCATGTCTATTATCCTTCAAACATTAGCGTAGTCTTTAAATCTTGGTATGAATTAGTCTGGAACATTGGTTTTCAACTTTTTTTTCCCCCCCTCAAATACCTGTTAGTAACAGTGGCTCACCATGGCAGCCAGAGAACTTTGGAGCAATGATTCTCAAAGTGTGGTTCAGGATCAGCAGCATTAGCATCATCTGGGAATTTGTTACAAATGCAAGTTACTAGGCTCCACCCCAGATTTAACTAAATCAGAAACTCTGGGATGGGGCCCGGCAGTGTGTAGGTGCTGCTGGTGCACATGCCAGAGTTTGAGAACCACGTTCTAGAGCAGTGATGGCGAACCTTTTGAGCTCGGCGTGTCAGCATTTTGAAAAACCCTAACTTAACTCTGGTGCCGTGTCACATATAGAAATTTTTTGATATTTGCAACCATAGTAAAACAAAGACTTATATGTTTGATATTTATTTTATATATTTAAATGCCATTTAACAAAGAAAAATCAACCAAAATAATGAGTTCGAGTGTCACCTCTGACACGCGTGTCATAGGTTCGCCATCACTGTTCTAGAGCATGGGTGTTCGTGATGCATTACTTTATAACATAATTTCTGAAGAATCTTAGCTATTTGATTCTAGTACATTCTCACTAGCAGTGAAAGGGGTAGTATCAGTGATTAATTTTTTAGGGCACAGAATCTGAAGGAAGTCCTGAGTGTTCTCCTTTTAGAATAGCACACATACATGTATAAAGTGAGTGTACAACTTTCTTATACCATTTGAGCTTGAAATTTGTCTACGGAATCAAGGTTAAGAACCTCTTTAACAACCTTGGGCTTTTTTATGGTTAACCTTTCAGCCTTCTATCTTGCCTATAAAGAATCCCCATCAATTCGGGGGCTGGGAGAAGTTGGGAAGATTTGATAGAGCAAGAGTAGGTACTCAGTTGGCTCCTTGTATTGATTTGGATGAAGTCATGGATGGAATCCATGCTTATGAAATTTGTAACCACCTGGAATTTGGAGTGATAACAAAAGTGTTTAATGATGGTATTGGATTCCAAAAAGATATTTTAAAGGAGATAAGTGAGTCTCATCAGAAAGGTGAGTGGTGAATATAAAATCTTGTCATTTGATTAAGAAGCCAATTGCACAAGTATAGGAGGGGAGGTAACTTAGAGCAGCATGTATGGGGGTTTGGCTGACAGCTCATTCTGAGCCAACAGTGAATGAGTACAAATGCACTGCTTAGGTCTTGAAATACATTAACAGCTTTCCCTAGTGTGGCCCTATGGTTGTTAGCGCTTCCTTTTTCTGTGGTACTGGTGGAACTGTATCTGGAATATTATGTTTGCTTCTGGTCACACACTCTAAAGGGGCATAAGCACATGGAGTCTGTTTGGAGGCAAGAGCTCAGGGTAGTGGAATGAGTCTTGATGAGTGATGGAATGCTGAAGAGGAACAGAGGGAGTAGGAGCAGCTGCAGGAAGGGGAGTGGAGACCTGAATAGCTACCATCACATACTTGAAAGACTATTACGTGAAGCCAAGTTACGTTTTTCCTCTGTGGCCTTATTTGATCACATTAAGACCACACTGACCATAGACAAGCTATAGGGAAACTGACTTGGGTATTTGTAAGGAAGAACTTTGAGTCTGTTGTCTGAGGATGGAATGGGAGGCCTGCTTTAGACCGATGCTTTCTCTTCTGTCATTCCTCAGAAGAGAACATTTCTGTGTTCTGTAGCTATATCCTGGTGGTGAAACAAATTCTGGTACCACTCCATAGGCTTTTTATTATGAATTTTTTGTTTTCTTTCTCTTCATTCTCCTTTCCCTTCTTAACTCTCTGTTTAATTTGTGGTGAAGGTAAAAGAGGAGATGAAGAGGGGGCAAAGTCAAACTAGAACTTTGCTTTGCCCTTCTGCTTGTTTTTCAGCCCTCAGTAACTGAGGGCGTGTCTTGAGTGGTCTTCAGACAACCAGTCATAATTTGTGGTCACCCCTGAAATTTACCTTGGAAACTCAGTATGGCCATAAAGAGGAATACCCCAGCTTTTTAACTCAAAGTTTATGCTTTCTGTTTACCAAAGGAGTAAAATTTGTGAATTTTATATATAAATATAAGTAATTTTATATGTGTGTGTGTTTATTGAGAGAGAGGAAGTGAGAAGGAGAGAGAGAGAGAGAAACATCAATGGGAGAGAAACATTGGTCAACTGCCTCCTGCATGCCCCCTGCTGGGGATCAAACTCACAACCTGGGCGTGTGCCCTGACTGGGAATTGAACTGGCAACCTCTCGGTGCACAGGATGATACTCAAACAACTGAGCCAACATCAGCCAGGGCTCATCTATAATAATAAAAGCATAATATGCTAATTAGACCGGACGTCCTTCCGTCCTTCCAGACGAAGCCAGGGCTACGAGGGAAGCCGGTGCCGGCAGCTGGGGGAAGGAAGGCCTACTCCTGCATGAATTTTGTGCATTGGGCCTCTAGTTTTATATGTTTGAGTATCTAACTTTATCCTCCTCCTCTTTCCATAGAGGCAATTGCTCTTGGATCCTTCTGTTTACAATGGCGCAGAGAAGTGGACTTGAAGATCCAGAGAGGTATCTCTTTGTGGACAGGGCTGTCATCTACAACCCTGCCACACAGGCTGATTGGACGGCGAAAAAGCTTGTGTGGATTCCATCAGAACGCCATGGTTTTGAGGCTGCTAGTATCAAAGAAGAGCGGGGAGATGAAGTTATGGTGGAGTTGGCAGAGAATGGAAAGAAAGCAATGGTCAACAAAGATGATATTCAGAAGATGAACCCACCTAAGTTTTCCAAGGTGGAGGATATGGCAGAATTGACGTGCTTGAATGAAGCTTCTGTTTTACATAATTTGAAGGATCGTTACTATTCAGGACTTATCTATGTAAGTATTCCCTCTAATCACGTGAAGTGTGGTGACTGGGAATTAATGTAAATTATACATACTGTCATAATCAAATGAGAATGTGGACTATTCACATTCTCTGTTTAATACTGTTATTTCTATTAAAGATAGTCTCTTGCTTACCCTAAGTCTTGCTTTGCTTTAAAATTTTTTTTAATGAAATATACTGAATGGTATGTGAAGACTTTTGTGGTGGTGCTCTGGAATAATAAGATAGGGGAAGCATGTTGTAGAAAGACCTGGGAGTTTAATATGGGACTAAGAGGTGCATTAATAGTAGGAGACAGACAGCAGATTGGTAGGAAATGCTGGGTAAATCCAGAATTGTAAAGTGGAGGGCAAGAACCAGTTCACTGGGTGCAGGGAAATGGGAAAGATGAGACTGAGGTTTTTAAGAGGAAACAGTTCAGGGTGAGATTGAGGCTGGGGTTGTCCTGTGGTTAGCAGTTGACACATCCGGATGTTGTAGTCACTGACCATATAAAAGTCATTGAAAATAATAAGGGGTAAGGAAGAGGGAAAATGCAAGCCAAGTCCTGAAAAAAACCTAGAATGACAAAACAGGTTTGAAGGGATGGTAGATGCAATTGGCAAAGATTTAAAGAAGGTGGTGTAGGTAGAACTTAGATTTAGAATGAAGAGGAGACAGAAAAGTTGACATTGTAATGGTCTGAATTTGGAAAAGAATTTTATGCAAGAGGTGTGACACTGAAGCTCATACACAATTCAGAACTTCAACAAATCAGAACTAGCTCTACCATAGGAACTAGTTTATTTGGTGAATATGTACCGAGCACCTCCTGCAGGGGAGAGTGTGGTGGACAGGATAGGTTCCTGCCTTTGTGATACACCCTCTAAGGCAGTGGTTCTCAACCTGTGGGTCGCAACCCCTTTGGCGGTCGAACGACCCTTTCACAGGGGTCACCTAAGACCATCCTGCATATCAGATATTTACATGACGATTCATAACAGTCGCAACATTACAGTTATGAAGTAGCAACGAAAATAATTTTATGGTTGGGTCACAACATGAGGAACTGTATTTAAAGGGCCAGAAGGTTGAGAACCACTGCTCTAAGGGAATGAAACGGGATAGAGTAAATAGGAGACTTTCCACAGCAGGTCAGTGAAGGGCTCTGAGAAGGTAGCATTTGGGCTAGAATCTGACTGATAGGAGGGAGCTAGCCATGGGAAAATCTGAGAAATGAATAGTTCATTCATGACCTTTGCCAAAGAAATTTCAATGAAGCCCAAAGGTCTCTCTCTTACTCTCTCCCCCCACCCACCCCTGCTATGAGGTAGGATGGAAAGTAAGTGAGTAAGAGGCACCAGGGTTGGGAAGGTGGCTCCAGGAGAATGGGAAAGGTTTGGAAGATAAGCCACAGATAAGGAAACGATTGGAGAGTAGCATTGAGGATCTGGCTGAGACTGAATTACAGAATATGTATGGTGACCACATTTTTGTCTGGCTGTGTGGTTTTGCCATTATTTTTTTTAATCTTTATTATTGAAAGTATTACATATTTCCCCTTTTTTCCCCCCATTGACCCCCTCTAGCCCACCCCGTCCCCCTGCCCACCCTATTATCTGTGTCCATGGGTTATGCTTATAAATGCATACAAGTTCTTTGGTTGATCACCTCCCATCCATGCTTCCATGTCTCTGGATCCACTCTTTATCGGTTTATTTTGTTAATTAGATTCCACATATAAGTGAGATCATGTGATACTTGTCTTTCTCTGACTGGCTTATTTCACTTAGCATAGTACTCTCCAGGTCCCTCCATGTTGTCTCAAAGGGTAAGAGATTCTTCTTTTTTACTGCTGCATAGTATTCCATGGTATAAATATACCACAGCTTTTTTATCCACTTGTCTATTGATGGGCACTTGGCTCTTCCCAGATCTTAGCTATTGTAAATTGTGCTGCTATGAACATAGGGGTACATATATTCTTTCTGATTGGTATTTCGGGTTTCTTAGGATATATTCCTGGAAGTGGGATCACTGGGTCAAGTGGCAGTTTCATATTTAATTTTTTGAGGAAACTCCATACTGTTTTCCATAATGGCTGCACCAGTCTGCATTCCCACCAGCAGTGCACGAGGGTTCCTTTTTCTCTGCATCCTCTCCAGCACTTGTCGTTTGTTGATTTGTTGATGATAGCCAGTCTGACAGGTGTGAGATGCTACCTCATTGTCGTTTTAATTTGCATCTCTCTGATGATCAGTGACTTTGAGCATTTTTTCATATGTCTCTTAGCCATCTGTATGTCCACTTTGGAGAAGTGTCTATTGAGGTCCTTTGCCCATTTTTTAATTGGGTTGTTTGTCTTCCTGGTTTTGCCACATTTGTAGGCTTGCCCAGGTCTATGTAGGCAGGAGAGCCTGACCACTGTGTGTCTCCACTGCTAGCACAGTTCCTTTCTCTTCTCTCTCTTGTCAAACAAATCAAAGGGGTCTGGAGTGAAGGTAATGGCCATGAAGGAGAGAGAAAGCTGGAAAACTAAGAGATTGTGGTCAGATCGTAATGGTGAGCAAAGATTTGAGCTGTGGGTCAATTTTGGATGATGCCTGGTGCAGTGACTTGCGAAAGGCTCCATGTGATGACACAACCAAAACGTTGTGGAATGGAGCCAGACTCTTTCTGCCAGTCTTCACTCCGTTCCCCACATTGTACCCTGTAGGCTCCTGCAACCAGGAGAGAGAAGGGAACTAGAAAGGGGAAGATTGTGGGATAAAGAGAAGGGGTGAAAGAAAAGATATTTTATTTGTAGCCATGCTTTATTATACTTCTACAACTTTGCAAGTATCTTTTATTGTGTTTGAGTTTCCCCCACTTATCTCAGGTATAACCTGAGTGACTTTCTGAGTTTCCTTTCAAACCATGGTCCCCTTGGTCTTTAAAGAAGGGAAATCTGAGTTTTTCTGTAAGTTTTAAGGTCACAGCAGAAGAAGGATCTTGTCCACAATTTTCAAAAATTGATTATTCACAGGTTTAGTTTTCTTATATTTTCTTTGTATTTAATCTCCCTGACATACAACTTCTCATCCAATATTAATTTTTTTCCCTAGTAAAAACCATTTAAACACTGTGAATATCTCCCCTGGTACTGTTTTAGCTCACCTGGTACGTTTTTTTCTGTAGTATTTGTATTATTTAGTTCTAAATATTTTCTAATTTCTATTATGATTTCTTCTTTAATCTATGAACCTTTTAAAAGTACACTTTTAAAACTTCTAAATGTTGGTTTTTAAGTTATCTTTTTATTATTTATTTTTATTTTTTAAAAAATATATCTTTATGATTTCAGAGAAGAAGGGAGAGGGAGAGAGAGATAGAAACATCTATGATGAGAAAGAATCATTGATTGGCTGCCTCCTGCATGCCCCCTACTGGCAATCAAGCCTGCAACCTGGGCACGTGCCCTTGAATCTGGGACCCTTCAGTCTGCAGGCCAATGCTTTATCCACCGAGCCAAACCGGCTAGGGCAGTGGTCGGCAAACCGTGGCTCATTGAAACTTCGTGGCCTATGCGCAGAAGTTGGTTTTCAGCCCGGGCCAGTCTATTTTGAAGAAGTGGCGTTAGAAGAAGTGGGGGTATGTTCGCTGAGGTCGACCCCTCAGATTAAGGACGTTTTTAGCAAAGGCCAGCTTAGGAGTACCCTAATTAAGTTAATAACAATGTACCTACCTATATAGTTTAAGTTTAAAAAATTTGGCTCTCAAAAGAAATTTCCATCGTTGTACTGTTGATATTTGGCTCTGTTGACTAATGAGTTTGCCGACCACTGGGCTAGGGCTATCTTTTTATTATTTTTAAATTAATTGCGCTGCAGTCAAAGAATATAGTCCATATGATACATTCTTTGTTTTTGTTGAGACTTGCTTTATATAGATATTGACAGTTCTATATGTGTTTATAAAGAAGGTCTATTCTGTATATGACTAAAATTTTTAATTGTTTAAATCTTCTATAGCCTTATTTTTGTCTGCTTGGTCTATCAATTACTGAGAAGTATCTTAAAATCTCTCAGTGTGTTTTATCAACAAGGTATACATTCCTAAATAATATAATTATATAGTTGAGTTTTGCCTGTTTGTGAATGAATCTTACATAGCCTTTTCTGCCTCTTTTTTATTATTTATTATTATTATTATTTTTTGCTCAGCATTACCTTTTAAAGATCATCCATATTGCTTTGTGTTGGAATAATTTAGTAGTTTTCAAATTGTGGTCTATGGACTCCAGGGTTTTTCCCCAAGCCTCTTTCCCAGGATCTGTGTGGTCAAAACTGTTTTCATGATTATTTGCCCTTTTCACTGTTGACATTGGTAGTGATGTCAACAGTGAAAAGACAATGGTAAGAAAATCCATTGACACGTTGTCATGAATTAAGATGGTGACCCCAAACTGTACCTAGTGGTCATTTTAATTCAGTTTCACTCAAGAATGTCTTTGCTAGTGCTCTCCCTCCTGGGAGCACGCCATGCCTTCCCTCTCAGGCGTGCACCTCTTCAATTCTAAGGGTGCCCATGAGACTTGCAACCAGGAGAGCTATGGAAAGCCCTGCCTGGCCCTGGGCTAACCCCCCAGCCTGTCTCCAAGGCCCCCTTTTCTCTGACTTTCCAGAGCTGACAGCAGCCCTGCCTCCACTCATTTTTTTCCTGTAACATTTCTGGAGACCCAAAGCAGCCCTGTCTAGGCTCTCCTGTTGCTTCTTCTACCCTAAGCCCTTCCTTGTCTCATTGTCCCCAGCTTTAATAAAATAAAAAAGTAACAATAATAAAAGAAGAATGTCTTTGATAAAGCAGATAAATTATTGATTTTATTAATTCTCAACCCTTGTGTCCATGTCTTTTGAATATTCCATGTGATGAAATGGTGAGCATGTATAAAACACTTCTGCTGCGTGTTGAACTACAGTGGTCGCCCTGAGGAAAGGCATGTCATTATTTAAGTTGCAGACTAAATTTGCTA